TACCACTGAGCCACCTTCTCAGCCCCTCAGGTGTCTTATTATCTCCAATAAACTTCCAAACTGAAGTGGAGCTATGGCTCAAGTGGTAGAGCGCTAGCCTTGAGCTGAAGAGCTGAGGGGCAGCGCCCAGGCTCAGAGTTCAGGCCCACGACCAGACCCAAAATAAAACAAAACAAAAAGAAGCTCAGGGGGGCTGGGAAGGTGGCTCAGTGGTGGAATGCTTGCCTTGCATGCATGAGGCCTTGGGTTTGATTCCTCAGCACCACATAAGCAGAAAAAGCCAGAAGTGGCGCTGTGGCTCAAGTGGTAGAGCACTAGCCTTGAGCTGAAGAACTGCAGGACAGCGTCCAGGCCCAGAGTTCAGGCCCCATGATTCGCCAAAAAAAAAAAAAAAAAAAAGAAGCAGCAGCAGCAGCAGCTCAGGGACAATGCCCAGGCCCCAAGTTCTAGCTCCAGGACTGGCCAAAATAAATAAATAAAATATAAATGTGTGTATTTGTGTGTGTATATGATACATACATACACATATAGATACATAGATGGCTATAGACAGGTGGGCAGACTGAACCACGGACCTCCACTATGCTAGATGGCTGCTCTGCCACAAAACTACACTTCAACACAAACTTTTTTTGTGTGTGCCAGTCCTGAGGCTTGAATTCAGCACCAGGCATTGTCCCTGAGCTTTTTTGCTCAAAGCTAGAGCTCAATCACTTGAGCCACAGCTCCACTTACAGCTTTTTTTGGTGCTTAATTGGGAGTTGAAAGTCTCACAGACTTTCCTGCCCAGGCTGGCTTTGAATCACAATTCTCAGATCTCAGCCTCCTGAGTACCTAAGATTACAGGCATAACCAATTGTGCCCAGCTTGGCTTTCTCCTTTTATAAACAGGAGCAACTGCTCCTAAGGGAAAAGTGGAAAACACAAATGCATCCCCTTCCTTTATTCTACATGGGCCTACTAAGTCCCCATAGCCCCACTCCTGTGCAACCTGGGTCCACAAGGCAGCATCTTGCCCTCAGGAGACTCACCATCTGAGAGAAGATGAATGAATGGTATCTGACTTTTACAAATGGTTTGCAAAGTAGGCATGGGGTGCCTGTCTACAATCCCAGAAATTGAGACTGAGACAGGAGGATTGCAAAAAGAGTTAACCAATTAACAAATCTACAAAAAAGCTTCCAAATCTTAGAAAAGCTAAAAAGAACAAACAAATACCTACTTCCCTCCAATCCAGAATTATCCAATGTCTGTGTTACACTTGGTTCAGAGCTATTGGGGGTGGGGGAGAGGCAGAATGCTGGTGATGAAGTGAACATGGGCCAGAGGATGGCTCATCCTAGGCCAGGGAAAATAAATAAAAGCTACCACCGACACTATACTTTATATAAATATCACACTGTAATATGTTTCTAAATGTGACTGAATTATGTCATAATGTACACTGACACCTGCTCCTTGCATTTCCAGCAACAGTGTATTCTTTGAAGACTCAGTCTGCATTGATACATCACATGGTCACACAAATGGCAATTCACAAATGGAAAGGGATCCTATAACAAAAATCTGGGCATGATGGTGCATACCTGTAACCTCAGTACTCAAGAGGCTGTGGAACGAAGATCAAGAGTTGGAGGCCAGCCTGGGATTCCTAGCAGGACCTTATCTCAAAGACCCCAAACATTACTGAATCTAACAGCAAAGCCCATAAGATGAGAGGATAACCATGTGGAATGTATCTGAATGTATAAGAAAATGTGGCCAGGCGCCTGTGGCTCATGGCTACAATCCTAGCTACTCAGGAGGCTGAGATCTGAGGATTACAATTCAAAGCCAGCCAAGGCAGGAAACTTCTTGAGACTCATCTTCAATAAACCACCAGAAAACAGGAAGTGCCACTGTGGCTCAAGTGGGAGAGTACTCACCTTGATCTGAAGAATTCAGGGACAGCACCCAGGCCAAGTTCAAGCCCCATGACCAACAAAAACACCACCAACAACAAAAAAGAAAATGTGTAAGGGGCTAGGAATGTGGCTTAATGGTAGAGTGTTTGCCTAGCATACATAAAGCTCTGGGTTCCATTCCTCAGTACCACATGAACAGAAAAAGCCAGAAGTGGTACTGTGGCTTGAGGTGTAGAGTGCTAGCCTTCAGCACAGAGAGGGTCAGGGACATTGCCCAGGCCTGAGCTCAAGCCCCAGGACTTGTTTTAAAAAGTATAAGAAGAAAAACAATTTTTAAAAAATCTACTCAACTGCTAAAGATGTTTTCTAAAAGCTATTATTCAGAAACACATTCATTCCTAGGAACTGGTGGCTCATGCCTAGAATCCTAGCTACTCAGGAGGCTGAGATCTGAGGGTAGCGGTTCAAAGCCAGCCCGGACAGGAAATTCCGTGAGACTCCTCTCCAATAAACCACTCAGAAAACTGGAAGTGGCGTTGTGGCTCAAGTGGTAGAGTGCTAGCCTTGAGCTTAAAAGGTGAGGGACAGCACCCAGGCCCAGAGTCCAAGCCCCATGACCAACCCCCCCCCCCAAAAAAAAAGTAATAAAAGACACACACCACAATCTAGAAATAGTTGTGTTAAAAGCAATCACATCTAAATATGATCAATTGGACCCTGAATCCAATTACCAACTTAAAGAAAATGTAAAAGAGATGAACATATTAAACAACAACAGTAGATACAGGATGTGTGGCCTGGCAATAGATCCTAGGATCTACTGGCATTTAGATTCTTTACCAATGAACATTTGAACCTGATTTGACATTCAAAGATATTCAGGGCTTTCTGTTGTAGTGGTTTTAATCCTGTTTTTAAAAGGGCCCCCGTGTGTGCGTGTGCGTGTGCATGTGTGTGTGTGTGTGCGCGCACGCGTGTGTGTGTGTCTGTCTGTCTGTCTCTCTCTTTCTCTCTCTCTCTCTCTCCAGGAACTTGGGCTTGAACTCAAGGTCTGAGCACTTTTTGCTCAAAGATGGCACTATAACACTTGAGTCACACCTCCACTTCAGGTTTTTGGTAGTTAATTGGAGATAAGAGTCTCACAGATTTACTTGCCCAGGCTGGCTCGACACCGAAACCCCAGGACTTAGCCCTGTGAGAAGCTAAGATTACAGACAGGTGTGAGCCAGTGGTACCTGGCACCAGTGGCATGTACTGAAATATTTACAGATGAAATAAGATGCCCTTGATTTGCTCTAAAATAATATGGAAGACAATGACAAATATTGCCAACACTGTGGAGAATGGGAAACACTCCTTAGTTCTGTGGAGAATGGGAAACACTCCTTAGTTGTCAGTGAATGTAAAATGGTTGTCACTTCGGGACAATTTGACAAGTTCTTAAAAAAAAATTGGCAATTCCTTTAAGAAGTTATATAAAGGCCAGGCATGGTGCCCACTTGTAATATGAGCTACTTGGGAGACAGAGGTACAAAGATATGTTTCAAGACAATCCCGGGCAAAAGTGCAAGACGACTCTGAGAAAGAAATTAAAGCAAAAAGGGTTGTATGTGTGGCTTAAGCCAAGTGGAATTGTGGTTCAAACCACCAAAAAAAGAAGTTAAAACTAATTCTACAATATGGCCCAGGAACTTCATGCCACTCCTACCAAAAGCAATGAAAATACCTATCTCCTAAAAGATCTGCTTGAAGCTGGTGGTGCTGGCTTACCCCTGTAATCCAAGCTACTCGGAAGGCTGAAATCTGAGGATTGTGGTTTGAAGCCAGCCTAGGCAGAAAAGTCAATGAGATTCTCATCTCCAATTAATCACCAAAAAGCCAGAAGTGGAGCTGTAGCTCAAGTGGTAGAGTGACATTCTTGAGCAGAAAAAGCAAAGGGGCAGCACTGAGACCCTGAGTTCAAACCCCAGAATACACCCCCCACGTTAAATGTAAATCTAGATTCTATATTCTTTAAACTCTACACAGACAAAACACAGTGTTTCATGATTAATACAGTATGTTTTTACAAGACAAATTTTGTAAAACTTCTGGGGGGGGGGGAAGGTATACTATGAAAATAATGTGTGCTATAATGATGCACTTTCTACTTCTTACCTATTAAACTATTCACCTGAACTAACGACGGTACGTGTCAGCTTTAGAAGACTTTAAACTGAGCTATAAAGGAAGACTTACACGAACGTTCTAGGCCTAGACAGACGAGAGAAGAAACAGCAGAAACTCCGAAACACGTTCTTGTCAACGGGTTTAAATTCCCAGGGAAGTGTTTCAGACTTCCAAAGCCAGGGCAGGGGAGAGCGGGGCGCAAAGCTGGTGCGGAGGGTGGGGAGCTGGGCGAGCAGGAGGAGCCCGGGGAAGCCGCCGCCGCCGCCCGCTCGGGGCGGGCCGCAGGTCGGCCCCTTCCCCACCGTCACCTCCCATCCTCGGCCTGGAGCAGACGAGCGCGCGGCGCGCCCGGCCCCGGCCCCGGCCCCGGCCCCGGCCCCGGCCCCCGGCCCCCGGCCCCGGCCCCGGCTCCCGGCCCCGGCCCCCGGCCCCGGCCCCCGGCCCCCGGCCCCCGGCCCCCGGAGAGCGGCCTCGCCGGACCACCGCGGCCCGCGGCTCGGGGGCGAGGCCCTGGCCTCCGCCCCCCGGCCGGGCCTCCGCCCCCCCGGCCGGGCCTCCGCCCCACCCCCGGCCGGGCCTCCGCCCCCCGGCCCCCGAACCACGGCCCGGCCCGGCCGGTACCGCCGGTCTCGGTCCCGTCTGGCCTTACCTTGAGTGCCAGGTGATGGACGCGGCCCAGACCGGGCTCAGCCAGCAACTGCAGAAGCCCCAGCATCGGCAGCAGCCGGAAGCCAGCGGCCAGCCGAAGACAGTGAGAGCCCGAAGGGCCGAGAGGCACCGGGGCGGCCATGTTTGTTCCAGCATCACCAGCTGCTTCCTCTCCCGCCCATTTCCGGGGTTAAAGAACAGCATCCGCCGGAAGTGGCGTGACGGGGCGTGACCGTCGGCTGCGGGGACGCAGTGAGGTGTTCCTGCGGGGGGCTGGGGTCCGGTGGCCGCGGGGTCCGGCGGCCGCGGGGTCCGGCGGGGCACCCCGCTGCTGGCCGCCCGCTCGCTCCGTGCGGACTCTGGTTGGGCCAGGCGAAGGACGCCCAGTGGAGAGCCCCCGTCGGTTCCCGTCACCACGGTGGCCGAGCGGGCCCATCCGGAGCCTCACCCGCCGCGCGCTGAGCCCCGAGAGCGGCCCTGGCGCGCGGGGCCTGCACCGAGGCCCCGGCACTGTGGACTTGTCGTAGGTTCCCTCGGTGTTTCGTTTTGCTTTAGTTTTTATCCCCCCCCCCAGGCCCTTCTCACTCAGATCTCGGGCGAAGTAGTTAACCGTAGTAGGATTTTTGAGACCTTTTGTAGCACTTAGTTCCGGGAAGAAACTAGTGGAGGAGGTAGGCGTCCATTCTCCCATTTCACAGGTAAGGCAGCTGAGGCCCTGAGGAAATAAGTCCTTGGTTCCCGGCTGAGCGGGGAACCACGTGGAAACCTTTAAACCACTGTGTCGCATTGCCTCCTGCTATTCATCCCACCGGCACAGAACTGAATCTTAATGTATTTTGTTATGTTCCAATAATGGGGCTTGAAATCAGTCTTGCTTGGCTTTTTCACTCAAGGCAGGCTCTCTGCTACTTGAGCCCACACCTTCACTTCCACCTTATTGCTGGTTAATTGGAGATATGAATCTCATGGAATCGTTCTGCCCAGGTGGCTTTGAACCAGTATCCTGAGATCTCAGCCGCCTGAGATCTGAGGTCCTAGGATTACAGGTGTGAGCCACTAAATGTTGTTTCTGAATAGTTTGTTTTCATTCTGTGTGGAACCTTTTCTGCTAGACATAGAACTTACTATGACCCCTTGATTGGAAAAACTCAGTAGAAGACACCTTCCCTCCCCCATTCTTTATCAAAGAGTCATAGAAGAATATGGTTATTAAAATTGCCAAATAGATTAGCCAGGCTTATTTAGTTTTTAGATTCTTGGTTTTGGCTCTCCACACAAGTAATTTATATTTTCTTTTGGGTCCGGTCGCGGGGCCTGAACTCTGGGCCTGGGCGCTGTCCCTCAGCTCTTCAGCTCAAGGCTAGCGCTCTACCACTTGAGCCACAGCGCCACTTCCGGCTTTTTTCTTTTTGCTTATATGGTGCTGAGGAATCGAACCCAGGGCCTCAGGCATGCAAGGCAAGCGCTTTACCACTGAGCCAACTTCCCAGCCCCGTAATTTATATTTTCAAGCAAAAGAAAAGAAAGTAAAAGATACCAGGAATCCCAGAACCAAGTGATTACCAGTGTACTAATAAGTTTCCTGACAGAATCAGACTCAACTTTTTTTTTTTTTCTTCATTAGAACCTGGAACTGAAATTAACATGATCTGTTTTAATGACATGAAAGTACTCAGGTTAAAAAATTCCACTGGGAAAGTACAGAATGGGATGTCCCCTCTCCCCCCAGGGAGAGTCCAAGGTGTTTTTACTCACATGCCACCTTAATAGTGCTGTTAAATTTATGATTAAAAAAAAAAAGCAGTAAGATTACTCCCACACGCTCAGCAGAGCCAAAGTAGGACACTGAGGTGGGGCCAGAAAGATGGTAGTTTATCTTAAAATGCCTTCTATGATCAGCACTGATTACTTACTTGGTAACTAACCTCTTTCTTCCCTAACCTCCTATCTTGGGACATCTGTTTTAAATATGAACTCTTACATGTTTGAACGGAGCATTTTCATTTGATCCTTCTACCCCTTTTACAGGTGGAGAAACTGAGAGTGAGAAACTTCAGAAGTATCCTAGGAAGATAATAGTTTTATTTACTAAGCAATTAAATTTGCCCAGCATACTGTGACGTATACATGATCTCATTTAAGTTAACTTTTAGAAATAAGACCTCTATTTTATACAACATTATGTGGTTATTAACTTGTTTTCAAAGACCTTTTTCCATGTGTGTCTTTGCTGGGTTTCTGCTGGGGGCTGAGCCTACCACTTCCATTTTCGCTGATCTGTCTAAATGGTCTCCCAGTGGTACTCCTTGGTGACCGCTGCTACAGGAGGCCATGGATGGGACATCTTTGTTCTAAGCATTTAGTGTCTTATTTTTTTCTGACCTTGGCCTTCTGTGTACACACATACCCTATATTCCTCTTTTGTTTTTTTTCCCTTCCCTTTATCATCTTTATTTTTTGCGTATGTGTGTACCAGTGCCGAGGCTTAAATTCAGGGCTGTACCTTAACTTTCTTTGCTCAAGGCTAGTTCTCTACCACTTGAGCTACCACTCCACTTCTGGCTTTTCGGTGGTTATTTGGAGATAAGTGTCTGATGGGCTTTCCTGCCTGGCTGGCTTTGAACCATGATCCTCCTATCTTAGCCTCTTGATAGCTAAGATTGCAGGTGTGAGCCACCAGCATCCAGCTAATATGGAATACTTTTTAAACAGTTAAAGTTCAGAGAAAACTGTTCTTTTGGCAACTCTACTTAAGCAGAATTTCAGAAATTTCAGAATTTCAAGAAAAGTTTTTGTATAATTATGATACTGTACAGTAACTGAAATAGATGGTTGATGGGCACCTTTAACTTCAAGGTTGGCCTGAGAAAACAAAGACATGTTCTCCTGAGCCTTTGAAGTTTTCTCCTGCCAAGTGCATTGTATTTTTCTATTTTCTCCATTTGTGGCAGAATGTATTGATAGAATATAGCACTATTGATAATATTTGGCCTAGGCCAAATATTTGCAAAAGTCTTTTAAGCAACAAATAGGTATTCTCTAGGGTTTTTTTTTCAACTTTTATTGTTATTATAAAGGTGATGTATGGGGCTGGGAAGGTGGCTCAGTGGTAGAGCACTTGCCTTGCATGCTCGAGGCCCTGGGTTTGATTCCTCAGCACCACATAAGAAAAAAAAAGCCGGAAGTGGCACTGTGGCTCAAGTGGTAGAGTGCTAGCCTTGAGCTGAAGAGCTGAGGGACAGTGCCCAGGCCCAGAGTTCAGGCCCCACGACTGGTCCCAAAAAAAATAATAATAAAAAAATAAAGGTGATGTACAAGCCAGGTGTGGTGGCTCATGCTTATAATCCTACCTACTCAGGAGGCTGAGATCTGAGGATCCTGGTTCAAAGCCAGCCCGTGCAGGAAAGTGTGTGAGATTCTTATCTCCAATTAGCCACCAGAAAACGGAAGTGGCGCTGTGGATCAAGTGGTAGAGCGCTAACCTTGAGTTAAAGATCTGAGGGACAGTGCCCAAGCCCAGAGTTCAAGCCCCACGACTGACAGAAAGAAAGAAAGAGAGAAAGGTGATGTACCAAGGGGGTATAGTTACATAAATAGTTAAAAAGTACCTTTCTTTTAATTTTTTTTTCTTGTCAGTTGTAGAGCTTGAACTCAGGGGCCTGAGCACTGTCCCTCAGTTTTTGCATTCAAAGCTAGTGCTCTACCACTTTGAGTCACAACGTCACTTCCAGTTTTCTGGTAGTTAATTGGAGATAATAAAAAGTCTCACAGACTTTCCTGCTCCACTGGCTTTGAACCCTGATCCTCAGATCTCAGCCTCCTGAATCTCTAGAATTACAGATGTGAGCCACTGGCACCTGGCAAGAGTACATTTCTTTTCATTGCTCTCAAGTTTTTACTCCTATCCCTACCCATAAATTGAATAGATAATTTTCAACACTTTTTTGGGGTGTGGTGGGGGGTGGGTCATGGGGCTTGAACTCCAGGCCTGGGCACTGTCCCTCAGCTCTTCAGCTCAAGGGTAGTGCTCTACCACATGAGCCACAGCGCCACTTCGTTTTCCGAGTGGTTTATTGGAGATAAGAGTCTCAGGACTGGGGCTGGGAAAGTGGCTCAGTGGTAGAGCGCTTGCCTTGTATGCATGAAGCCCTGGGTTTGATTCCTCAGCACCACATAAGCAGAAAAAGCTGGAAGTGGTGCTGTGGCTCAAGTGGTAGAACACTAGCCTTGAGCTGAAGAGCTGAGGGACATCGCCCAGGCCCAGAGTTCAGGTCCCACGACCAGACCCAAAAAAAAAAAAAAAAAAAGTCTCAGGACTTTGCTGCCCCAGCTGGCTTTGAACCATGATCCTCGGATCTCAGCCTCCTGAGTAGCTAGGATTGCAGCCGTGAGCCACCAGTGCCCAGTTCATTTTCATTCTTGACTTGAAGCACACCATCTCTTCCAGGAGAGTGGGTGGTTTTTTTTTTTCAAACATTTAGCATTTTTTGGTTTTGGTCATGGGGCTTGAACTCAGGGCCCAGGCACTGACCCTGAGCTCAAGGCTAGCACTCTATCACTATGAGCCACAGCCCCACCTGGGTGGTTTTTTTGTTTTTGTTTTTCTGCTATTCCTGGAGCTTGAACTCAGGGCCTGAGAACTGTCACTGAACTTTTTGCTCAAGGCTAGCACTCTACCACTTGAGCCACAGCACCACTTCTAGCTTTTTCTGTGTATGTGACACTGAGGAATTGAACCCAAGGCTTCATGCATGCTAGGTAAACACTCTACCACAAAGCCACATTCACAGACTGGTAGGTGGGTTTTCAAGAATATCTTGGAGTCAGGAAGAAGTCTGGACGGGACCTATTGCAGAAAGCCATCCTCTTAGAAAAGTCTGGTCCCAACATGAATGGTGCTGACACCTTCATAGTCTTCCTCCTCAGTCTGTTGGCACTGTGTGTGAGCCACTCAGCCACAGACTGTGCAGTTTTTGTTTTTTTTTTTTTATGATTTTAAGAACATCCTTACAAATCTTCACGGTAATTGAATAGTTATAAAAATTAGTTGCAGTACACCTGGCGCCAGTGGCTCTCACCTGTAATCCTAGCTACTCAGGAGGCTGAGATCTGAGGATCACGGTTCAAAGCCAGCAGGAGCAGAAAAGTCCCCATGTGACTCTTTATCTTCAGTTAACCACTCAAAAGCCAGAAATGGTGCTGTGGTTCAAGTGGTAGAGCGCTAAACTTGAGCACAAAGAGGCTCAGGAAGAGTGCCCAGACCTGAGTTCAAGCCCCACAACTGACAAAAAAGTGACAGTAGTAAGATATACTCACTGTGAAGTGCCCAATTGCACCCTCACCTGACTTCTTCCATTTGACTGCTTTCTGTGTCCTTAGCACCCTCAGACACCAGCTTGCCAGAGTATGTCTGTAGGTTGAGTGCTAAGGAAATGGGAAAGTTTAAGCTAAAAATAGATGATAGGAGTTTTTAAAAATCCAGAGAGGAACTGGAAATGTGGCTTAGTGGTCATGTGCTTGCCTCACATGCATGAAGCCCGGGGTTCAATTCCTCAGCACCACATACACAGAAAAAAGCTGGAAGTGGCGCTGTGGCTCAAGTGGTAGAGTGCTGGCCTTGAGCAAAAGACACTCAAGGACAGTGCCCAGGCCCAGAGTTCAAGCCCCAGGATTGGCAAAAAAAAAAAAAAAAAAATCAGGGACATACCTTATTAATAGACAGCCAGTCAACTGTCGTTTAGGCATGGTGGCTCACATTTGTAATCCCAGCTACATTTGAGGTAGAGATAGGAGGATCATCATTTGAGGCTAGCCTGGGCAAAAATATTAAAAAAGACCCTATGTGATATGTGTAACCTCTGCTATGCAGGATGTGGAGATTGCGGTCTAAACTAGCCATGGCAAAAGTGCAAACCCTATCTGAAACATAAATGAAAGCAAGTCAGGCACCAGTCAGTGGCTCATACTTGTAATGTTAGCCACTCGGAAAGCTGAGATCTGGAAGATCATGGTTCGAAGCCAGCTCAGTGTGAAAAGTCCACTAGACTTGGTATAAAAATAAGTAAGTAGGAGCTGGGCAGGTGGCTCAGTGGTAGAGTGCTTGCCTTGCATGCATGAAGCCCTGGGTTCGATTCCTCAGCAACACATAAACAGAAAAAGCTGGCAGTGGTACTGTGGCTCAAGCAGTAGAGTGCTAGCCTTGAGCTCAAGAGCTGAGGGACAGTGTCCAGGATCAGAGTTCAGGCCCCACTACTGACAGCAACAATAAAAGTCACCTATCTGTAGCTGTAATGTATATGTTGAAGTCCCAGGGTTAGATGTTCGCTAATTGCAAGCAAGATTAGAATTGCCAAGAGGCAATATAGTTGTTGCTTCTAACTACACAAAAACCTATACACAGTTCCTCTTGTTTGTCCAGATAGTGTATTTCAGTGCTAATATTTTGCATGTGACCAGATTATTCAGTGACAATATTACTTTGTAAATCAGTGTTACTTAAATATTACTGAGAAGTAAAACATGTCTACAACTGAGACCAATCCGGAGGTCAACCCTCTGGCATTTGCTTGGGGTGAAGAGTTCCCTGGGAAACTGATTCCTAAGTAGGTCCTGCAGTTTACTGGTGGGAATCCCTCTGTTACCATCACACCTTCTACAGGAAATAGAAAGGGATTTGTTTAGTTCTTCCTACCAAGTTGTGTGCTGAATGTCGTCATCTTTCTGCAGACTTTGCTCTCTTTATCTTGAGCCCTGTTCTGGCCATCATTCCAATATGTGCCTTTTCCTAGGCATATCTTTTTTTCTTTTTTTCCCCAGTTGTGGGGCTTGAACTCTGGGCTTGGGCGCTGTCCCTCAGCTCTTCAGCTCAAGGCTAGCGCTCTACCTCTTGAGCCATAGCACCACTATCAGTTTTTCTGGTTAATTGGAGATAAGAGTCTCCTGGACTTTCCTGCCTAGGCTGGCTTTGAACCATAAACCTCAGATCTTAGCCTCTTGAGTAGCTAGGATTACAGGCGTGAGCCATCGGTGCCCAGCTTCCTGGCCATGTCTTTTTTGTCATTTCTAGGACTTGAACTCAGGGGCCTTGCACTTCTAAGGAGACATTCTCCTATCAAGCCATGTATCCAGTTCTATTTTGTGAATATTATGACTCAAAAATCTTCCGTTGTCACCAGAACT